GTGCGGTGTGTGCCCCCGTCCCACTTCAAACCTAATGATTCCAGCTATATTCCGAGACTCTCTGTGTGTGGCGAGTACCCGTGTGTGTGTTGTTTGGTGACTTATTCCGGTTGACAAAGGTTTCTCACCTTTTCATCCACTAACTTTCTATTGTCTCTTGACAATGATTGATTTGATTTTACTGTGCACTCGGACGTCTCTCACATTATCGTTTGTGTCCCTTCAAACAAAAGATGGTTTGTGACTCTGAGTTTTAGTAGTATTTAGCTAACAAAATCATGTTTCTCTCGTGTAAAATAAGGTGTTATTTTTCGTGATTGGGAGGTCATTGGTGCAATTACGGTAAATCCCGGTTGTTTACAGTTCTACTAAAATCAGTTCAAAAATCTTGAAGAAATCCGGATAGTAGGTTTAATGACGTAATAAGTTTTCTGAATTGTTCTTTTGTGCTAACCACATACTTCCCTACTTTGATGGACACTTAAAGTCGTCTGAAACGCTGTACGCAAAACGGTAATATATAATTGGTTACTATATATATTATCACTTAAAGATACAGTCCCAACCGATTACTATAGGTTCCAAGTCGGTGAAAAACTAGAACAAAAAAGTTAAAAATTATTACGACGGGTCTTCACACGGAGGAGAGGAAGTATACCAGAACAGAGTCTACAAACTTTCTCTCCTAAGCGGAAAAGAAAATTGTTTGTACAAAGACCAAAATATAATTCGTGAAAATTATGCTAGATGAGTGTAGACGGAAATTTTACCTCTGTGTTTTTTTTTGGTCTCATATAGTATCTAATACCACACCTACCTACATGTCTTTGTCCATAATACTACGAACACTTCAAAGTCCATTACATGTACATTCACGTAATGGACGAATCTAGACTCCTAACAGTCTTAGTAGGCCTCGACCGAGAAAGCATGACGAATTGGTCCGCGTGCTTGTGTGTTATGAGGAATAGGCGTAGGCTGGGGGTTCGATGAGTCGTCTTCTGTTTGTCTCGTCTCCAATAAGTAGATACATGCTTTTTCATGACCGTATGTTTAACTAGGGTTTAATATCTCTCGGAATTATACACTCGGTCAACACTCTTACCATAAAAGGGCCACTAGACAAACAGGGTGCGTCTCCCCGTCGTTTCTGATGTCTTCACAGATTGTTTACTAACGACGACAACCTCTCTTATAAAACTATAATGTCATTGTTTTGCAAACCTACATTTCTTTCTGTAACTCCCAAAAACACACACCAGTACATTAACAATAACAGACGGTCGTAATGGACCCTACCTGACATCAATAACAACAGCAGACACGCACCAAGACGCTACCGCAAGATACAAGCTCAGACATAACGGTCTCGGCAGCGTACGCAAAAAAAAGAGGACTACGGTCGAACGATAGACCAAAAACCACTCTCTCCCAAACACCAACGACCTCGAAGCTCAGTATATAGAGACATACAAATTCAACAAGACACAATAACACAGACATTCCAAAACTTACCCAAACAAAACAGGCGAGTCGACGAGTACTAATAACATAAAGTGAGTAATGAACAGTAAACTCATATGGTAGCTGTTAATAAACAGACGTCTGTCATTCCCGTCGTAATACTAGTCATATACTAGGAATGTGTACGGTCATAAACGTTATATGCCAACATGGTACCCTCACAGGCCCTTCGAAGTATTGTAACTTCAAAAAAAAAAAGAAAAAAAAAAAAAAAAAACGGAAGTACCAGTAACCAAGACACCCAGACGAGGCGAAAAAATATAACAGACAACACAAACACACCACACGTGTCTGTGTGTGTGTGTGTGTGTGTGTGTGTGTGTGTGTGTGTGTGTGTGTGTGTGTGTGTGTGTGTGTGTGTCTGTGTGTGTGTGTCTGTTTCTGTGTGTGTGTGTCTGTTTCTGTGTGTGTGTCTGTGTGTGTGTGTTTCTGTGTGTGTTTCTGTGTGTCTCTGCTAGCTTATGAAGATTTGTGCAAACCACAGGCAGATGATAGCAAAAAAGAAACAACCAGTCTTTATCTTCTGTTGTCACATGTCCTGTCATGCTCCGCTGTGCTCTTTTTAAACCATCATATGTGTGTTGTGTTGTAGGCATGTGTGTGTTCTCCATGATGGAAAGAGAAATGCATTGATTGATTTGTTCTTAGAATGAAGATGCCGTTTGGAGAGACAGACAGAGCAATAATTACCTGATGCTGCCGTCACACATGTAGATAAATCAGTGAGAGATGCTCAGCAGTGACTGTTGCTTTGGTTGCCATGACAGCTAGCTGTAGGGCGAGGGGCAGGGTGTGTAAGGGTGACAAGAATTTAAAGTGTCATGAGTTTGTAGAGATGCTGATGTCGGAGACACACATGCAGGGGGGAACCTAGGCTTCTCTGAAGTATTATGGACAGTTGAGTCCACTCGTTGCCCATTATGGGGGGGAAGCCGTTTAAATGGTAAGACCACATACTCTGAGGCTGTGTGTGTGTCGATGGCTTTGCAAGTGTGTGTGAGTTTCTGCTTCTTTTACGCTTATCTAACAATTATACAATGCAACAAGGCATTGTGGAAACAGAAGGTTAATTTATAGCAGCGTCTCTATACACTATGCAGTTTGTCAGTGGTTTGATTTGCAAAAACTTTGCAATATTTGTAATATGCTAATTAACAGTTTTGAATAATGTGATTTTGATTTTGGCAAATGTTTTTGTTTCATATCACTTTTGATTGAAAGCTTAGACATGGCTTCACCAGGAAAATGTATTCAGAGAGTTTATTACTTACAGATGTGTATACTATATTACCAGAGATATATTACAACAAATTTAAATGCAGCCATGTCAAAGTAGTATGTAGTAGCACATAATAAGTAGGTGTTAACATGCACACACTTCTCTTGAATAAAAGTCATGAACTGGTATTTTGTCGTCCTCCAGCCTCTGTCCAATATTTAGTTTTGAATATGCTAATTAACAGTTCTGAAGTATGTTGTTTATAAAAACTGTCTGACATTTAGATTTTTGCAAATGTTTCATGTCATGTGTTTCAGCTGTCATGTCACTTTTGATTGAAAGCTTAGACATGGTTTCACCAGGAAAATGTATTCAGAGAGTTTATTACTTACAGATATTTATACTGTATTACCACAGATATATTACAACAAATGTAAACGCAGCCATGTCAAAGTAGTATGTAGTAGCATATAGTGTAATATATGTACATGCTGTGTAAGTAGTAGGCACACACTTCTCTTGAATAGAAGTAACTAACTGGTATTTTGTCGTCCTCCAGCCTCAGTCCTCTGTCCTCTCCCAGAGCTCCGGCCCGCAGCCTCTCAGACAGTCAGCAGGACGACGGCCCGCAGCAGGAGAGCAGCGGTGAGGGTCACGTCGTTTGATGAGTAAACATCAACACCTATCATTGGACAACATTAAGTAAACACTGTGTTTTGTGTGTGCATGTAGATGATTCCTCTCATGTTGTAACGGAGACGGCGTTGGAGGATTCCCTTTGTGAAACTCTGGAGAAGGAGGTGCAGGAGACACGGAAAATGGTCTCTGCTCTACAGGTACGTGCGTGCTGAGGTTTCATTATGGTCCATATAAATACATATTTTTTAATGTGAATATTTTTGTTTGACTTTCATGTTTCGTAACTTTAAAGGCATAGTTTAGATTTTGTCATCTCCTCTCTTTGAAGATTTGGGATTTAAAGCTGGCCAATAAATACAAATTCTGCAAAATGAATGTCCACATCCCACATGGAAACAAGTCAAACTGTGTACTTTGCTTCAGGATCATATATGTTTTTTAAACTGAAAGAAAATGCAGACATTTATTAGCTCCAGAAATATAGTTATACATTACTTGGAAGCATCTGATGCTTCGGCTCAGACAGTGCTGTAGCACATGTGACTAGAGCATGCACTGTTTGCGCATTCAGAGGGTTTTCATTTTCCTGAACTCCTTGTTATTGGGATATTACATATTTCTATACGTGCATGTTCACAATTCACTGGGCATGCTTTTAACCAACGTACGCCATAATACTTAGTATAGCCTTTACTCCTCCAAATAAGGTAACTATTAATGTACATTTTTACATTGAGATTGGGCAAAAAAACATAATTCCCAAGCTAAACCTACCTAGGAAATGTTCCCTAACCAATACTGACATTAGGAGTCAAGATGCCATTGTGTCCTTGGTAAAGAAGACAATTCACCCTAAATTGCTCCTGTGGGTATTGTCCACAGTATTGATGCATTACATGTCTGATATATGTAATAATTAATGTAAAGCGCTTTGAGCACTTGTAAAAAGTGCTAAAATAAATGCAATTAATTATTATTATTATTATATACTGACAATCGAGATTGAGAAAATTGAGATCGTTCTTTAACAATAGCACTTAAAATGTCGGTTCACAGGACATTCGATCATTATCTGGGTTCAAATAAGATATATTCTCTTATTTAATTCAAAAGGTTATACTTTTAAATGTATTTGCATCACACTTGTTTTGCTTTTGTTAATTCTGAAAACGTATGTCAGTGATTTATCTGTCAACCCGTCCATAGTTTAACTGTACATTCATATCTATAAATATCTTTTATACACAGGTTTCTTTTAAAAGACAGATCCAAATGTCAATAAGACGTGGATTTAATGAATAAATAAATGAAACAAATGAAATAACTTAAAGTGGACCTATCATGCTATATTTGAATAATATAGTGTAGGACCATACCTATATAAGGCATATTTATACTTTTCATTTTTCAAAATACCAAACAGATCATGCATTTTAGCCATTCCCATGCTCGGATTATGTGAGAACAGCACCACCTGGTGGCCTGAAATATGTACTACAGTGTCTCCAGCGCTTTCGAACGGCAATGTCCGTGGCTGTCTCCTCCTGATTGGTGGAGTTGGCCCAATAGCCGTAGCGTCACTTCTGTGACGTCATAGAAGTGTTCAAATCTGGATCAGTCTGTATCAGATCCGTTGCAGCCCCTTTTTAAGAGATTTGGGTATGGAGGAAAATAGAGAGGGTTGTGTTTTCTGACACTTGGTGAGTTCCCTGGAACACCGGGGACACATATTCATGTATAAAAGACGTACACAAGTGCATTTTGCATGATAGGTCACCTTTAATGGGAAAAAGCATAGTTCTGGCTTCATTGGATCATGTCTGTGCTGCTCCGCTTTTTAATCCTATTGGTTGGATGCAGGGTTTGGGATCTGGTGGGAAACAACCACAATTCTGACAATACTTTCAGGCCATTTGAATTCTGTGCTTAATATGCGTCAGACAACTCAACTTAACTTGTCTGAGCTTTAAGGAGACAGTGTTCTCGCTCCAAAGTACAAACCGAGTCACATGTTGACCTCTCGTTGTTTTTAGGCCCTGCTGCTGCATGGCTCGCTGCCTGAGGACGAGCAGGATGTGTCCTTCAGTTTGGACCAAGGCAATGCTGAGCAGCAACTGGTAGTTATACACTAGTTTCTCCTTTTGTTTTTGTTTACTTCTCTCTGTGCTTCTCGGCTCTCTCACCAGCTCTTTGTGTTGAGCACAGATTATATTTCTTCTTCTTTACTATGGGTTCGTGTGTGTATGTGTGTGTGTGTGTGTGTGTGTGTGTGTGTGTGTGTGTGTGTGTGTGTGTGTGTGTGTGTGTG